TCTCTGTTTTTTTTTTTTTTTTTTTTTTTTTTTTAACAGGTCCTTATGACCCTGGCTCCATTTCCATTCTGGGGAGCATCAGTTCGGTTCCTTTCCACCGGCAAGTCAGAATAAAATATTACATCATGAAACACACTCACGCTTTCTTCCGTCTGGCCGAAGGAACCCTGACAGCATTGATTACTCTTGCATAATGGAGGATTGACTGTCAGCTTGCCTTACTTCCACTTTTCTCTCAGGTCCATTGCACAAACCTGTCGGATGACTAATAAAGAGCAAGGAAGGTAAGAGAAGCTACGGAAGTTACAGTCCCGGAATTTGCCGTTCAATATTATGTGACCTGTGATGGATCTTGTCCTTCTGCTGGCTGGAATCTCTGTCTTCTCCACCCTGCTTCTGAGTTGTCCCAGTCTTTCCATCGTATGTGAGAGACATTTATCTCTGCCACTTTGCCCCTTGCAAGCCACACCTTAGTAAATTTTGTCTTGATTCTTCTCTGTTGCTCTTCATCATCTGGCATGGACTGTCTCGTCTTGTGCCATTTACAAAGGATCTCCGCCTGAATCAAAGTCCTTGTCTCCGCCCAAACCTTCTCCCTCCCTTGGAGTTGAGAGTCCCTCAATGGTTCTACAGCACCTTTCCTTCCAGATGGACCAAAGCGTTACCTTTCTGATCATTCCAAACCACGTTTTCTCTGTCGTGTCGAATTGAGCTGGGATGTTAGTCCATAAGAGGAGTTGGATGGGGTGTTCAGGGACGGGAGTCGAGAAGAGGGAGTCCCAGAGATCCGAGGCCCTCGCCCAATATTCGGTCGCCTCTCTACATCGTATCAGGCAATGTAGCATATCTTCTGGTTCATTTTCTGAACACACCACGCATAAATCTGAACTGTTAGGCTCATTCTTGCTTCTTCTGATGTGTAGCCATTGGTTAACCGGTAGAGCTATGTATGAGATAAGCCATTGGAGGCTTCTGATTTTGACTGGACGAATTGACTTGAATTTTTTCCATGGTATTTATGGTATCTGATTAGCATCCTGACATATTAACTTCTGCCATTTGTTCTTGATCGTAGTGTCAGGATCCTTTGTTTTGAGTAGGTTGTAACCCAGTTTGACTGTGTATTCTTGAACGGAAACATTAGTTTTGACGCTTCTATTTCTGTCTGGTGTCCAAACCCACTCTGCTGGATCAAATTCCAACTCTTGAATCACTGTATCCATTCTGAAGATTGTTTTTGGCCATGACCCCAATACTCTGACTTTTCTGAGTACAAAAGGGTTTAGGACTGTTCTTTCCACCTCTTTATTCAGGATAGATGGAAGGCCTTGCGTGGAGGGGGTAATTGGGAAGGAGGTGAACACTGCCAGGGTATCCGACCCTTGCTGTTTATGGGAGAATTGATAGGCCCTTGTGGGGGTTAAATCCTGCAACTTCACTTCCCATTCACCTGATTTCAATGTTGAGCCTTCACTCAACAACTCCTTCCAGCCTTCTGGGATACAGTTGATAATGGATTGTAGATTCTCGTCGCGTCGGTGACATCCTTTGAGCTGGGAGGCAAGTTCCTGTTCTTTCACTCAATCCTTTTTCTCCTCGTTCCATAGATGGCTCACCTTCCGAACTCCCATGTTTGATCCATGAAAGCCATCTCCTTCCTCTAGGCTTAAGGGATAGTTGGTGATCACTTTCATCCCTCACCCACGGATTACCAAACAGGGGTTGCCTCAGTACCTCTACCCACTTTCCTTGGCATGACTTCCCGCCATATCCGCAGCAACGCAGTCCAATATGGTGTAGGGGGTCTGGCTTCATTTGGATCGGTTCCTCTTCATTGATTTTTGCGCCCTGTACTTGGACTCCATTCCTTGGTCATTACCCAGAACAGGCCGGACATATTTGCTGGTGTGGCTGTAGGTGCTAAGCCCCTGATGCTAAGCCCCTGATGCTATCCAAGGCCAGTTTATTCCATGCCGTACCAGGTTTAGTTAGTAGTTTGACTATTCATTTGACTTGTAAGGCTTGGTTTCCTGTTTGGGGTCTATGATACTAAGACCTCCCTCGGATGGTTTGCTTGTAATGTAATGCCACACTATCTTTGGTATTCAATTCTCTTTGTTGGGGTCACCCGACCACAAGTATGCTCTTGCTTTACGGTTAAGTTCCTTGATTGTATGGTCCGGAACTGTCCAGATTGAGGCTATGTACCACATCATTGAAAAAATAGATGTGTTGATGGCTAATGCACGCCCCAGCAATGATGTGAATGTATTACCCCATCTACCCAGTTTGTTAATTTGTTTGGCTAGGATATTTTGGGCCATTTGAGGGGCGAAGCCATCCTTTGTCGGCAAGATGCCTAGATATTGCGTAGGTGTCTCCGGTGTCTCCCATGTCATGTCTGCCTCAGGGCCTTGACGTTGGGGAATCTCCTCCTCCGATAGCCACCGGCCGATTGTTTTCTTCCAATTAATCTCCATTTCTGATGCCAGTCTGAATGCTTCCATTGCTCTTACTAACGTGCTGAAAGAAGAGTCTGCAGCTCTTGTAAGGACCGTGAGATCGTCTGCAAACATAATTACTGTCGGGAAATGTAGGTGATGTGTTGTTCCTTCATAGAGGGGTCTTTGCGTAGGAATGAGGCTATTGCTTCCATGACGAAGAGGAAGATTGGGGGAGCCAGTGGGTCCCCTTGGCGAAGTAAAAGGATTGTGGTCAGCGAGGATTGCCCATACATTTGGGTATTGTTTCTCCTGAAGCATTCTGCGTCAGATGCGGGTGCTCAGTGGCTGCCAATGGAAGAGAGCATCCTGCCAGCCACCATAGTGAGGTAGCAAGCGGTAGCAAGGCACTGCCTTGGCTGGGAGGTGGGGACCAGGGAGACAGTGAGGTAGTACTTCCCAGTGGAGTGTTACTGCTCAGGGAGAGAGCAATAGCTTACCTCATTGCGTATATCACTGCAGTCCTTGTTGCTGAGCTGTGCTCGTTGAAGGAAGGGAAGGTTAGCATCTCTGTTGATAAGGACAGGAGCAGTCTATGATAGGCAGACTGTATGAATCACATATGGTTCAGGGCAGCCATCCTCAGCTGGATCTAACCCAATGCTGCCAAGCTGCTAGTGTAAGAGAGATGCTGACAATTGTGTTTGTGTCCCTCTCCAATGCGGAGTTTTGCTACGTGTCCTCCGATGTAGAAGCACTCATGGTTTAGACTAACCCATCCTTGGGCGGTCTTGGCTTCCATCTCCAATGCGAGCTTTTGTCAAAGAGTCCCTCAACCATTTGCCGCAGTCAAAAGTCAAAGGAAGAAAAGGAGTAGCAGCACAAATTAGTTGAAATTGTTTAATTGTCCTTTGTCGAAAACAAGCGTTGTGAAATCTCTGAAAACTCCATTCATCCTTTTCGATGACATCAATGGAACAGTGTGAAATGGTTTTGACAGGTTGAAAAAATTGTACATGCTACGTCCTCGTAGGGTGCTTTGACCTTTTTGCAGTGCTTCGCGCCTTTGAAATCGTGCCTGGCTGCGTGTGTTTAGAGATTTTTTACCACAAAGGAGCGAAGCCGCTACCATTCCATTTTTTCCGAAACCGAAAGGAACTACTATGATTTTAYATAATCGAGGCAGCCGCCAGGCTGTTGTATAATGAAGTTTTAAATTTTAATAACAAATCTTGACGTAACACATTTTCATAATGAAAACGGACTCAAACGGAGTCTATTTTGCATGTTTGAAAATCTGCCTTTTTTATTTATTTATTTATTTATTTTTATTTTTTTTGAGACATCCACGACATGGTCTGTATGATTTTTTTTGTCACATTTTGTAGATCTGTTAATCAATCTCTGTAGACTTTTTTTTTTTTTTGACGTTTTCCCGCTTTTTCGGTTTTGTCTTTTTTTCGGGGGTTTTGGCACTGTTGCAGGTTTGATGAATTCCAAACCAGTAGACTTCCGAACTCACGGCGTCCTAAAGTGAACAGCCTCTACGATGTCTTCTGCAATATTCGGGTGAGAATAGAAAACAGGACATCTTCTTTTTCTGTTCTATTTTTACTGCTTCCAGCTTCCTCTCTCTCCCCTCCGTACTCCTCCCCCTCTCTCCTGAGATAGCAATTGCTTACTTGGCAAGGCCTGCTCATTGGTTCAACTCTCAGGAGAGCACACAGGGGATGGAGATCTCGGCGCTAATGTCTGCTGCCCCCACACCATACCTCTTATGTAACTGATTGAAATGCAATCCACAACACAGAGTGACACGTTCCCATACACGCATGCAAGTGTGACGCAAACTTGAAGAAGGCAAAACCAAACAAAACCGGAGAGAGATACATAGTGGAAGCTCGATATACAAAAATAGATTTGGCGTGCAAATCTTAATTCCCCCTTCCTTCTCCAACGAATCCGATTACAATTTCCCAGAATGTCAGCCGAGTTTCAAAAAAAAAAAAACGAAGTAAAATGGAGACTTCTCCTTCCTCCACGCCAGCTCCTGCAGGCCTAGCTATGGCGCTGCCAACACCGAACAGTGCCCCACGCACCTCACGTCGTCTGCAGACCACCAATGCAACCTCCACTTGAGACCACCACCAAAACCCGTTTACAAGGGCAGCGCTCCAATCAGTAGGGCAGGGGCAGCGTCTAACTCCCAACATTTACAGACGAGGTTCCTGCTTCGCGGCGCCTGCGGCGCTATCTGCAGCACTGCGCTCATGTACCAAGTACAGCCCCAGCTATGGTGGCCATTCCGCACTCAGCTATGGCAAAATCGACCAAGCAGTACCAGCACTGCAGCATTTCCCCAGCAAAACAGAACGAAAAGAATGCGGCTCTAGTGGACTGCAAACTATTTCTCGATCCTACCTGACGGCCTACCGGACCGAAGACACTACGAAGCCTAAACAGGCCTGTTCGATCCAGTTACACGGTACCAGTCCCAAGCAGTCAGTGATAGGGCCTGGGAAAATTCCAGTAATTTGCAGAAAAGTCCCTGTAGGGACAAGGTCTGTGAGGGTTACCAGTTAGGGCCCACTTAAGAAAATTGCAGAAGTGGCCCGGTTATGTTACAACTCGCTGAGAAACCGCAAGTTCATTACATTCCTACCCTCCCAGGGAGCGAGGACCTCGAGCTACGAGTATCCACGAGGTGAACCTCTGGGCAATTGCCCTTTCTTCTGTGCAGCCTCGTGAAACAACACAACAGACTTGGCAGACTTGAGAAATTCCTTCCTTGTAAACCACTGGTCTTCTGTATGTGGTTGGACCAGGAACTTGACATGATACTCACAGTCGGGGCCTGTGCACCACTAAGGGTAGGACCCCGCTGCTTGGTGGTGCTTGGCGCCAGCAAAACATCCGCCAGCCCAAAATCGTCGCCGGCGGGAATGGGCAAGCGAAAAGGGACTCGACCGCCACACGGCAATCTTTTTCGGCACTTCCCGAGGTTTTTGGCACCGATCAGGAAGACTTGCCTTTTTGGGCAAGTTTGCCTCCACTTTTTCAGCACACCAACCAATCCTCGTGCCTCCTTTCCGCACTGGAGGGCTGGTACGTTTGCCAACCTCTAGAGGCTGCCAGTGTACCAGCCATCCCGTGTGGAAAGGAGGCACAGGGATTGGTCGGTGTTCTGAAAGGCCGGAGGTAGGCAGAGTGGAAACAAAAGTGCTTGTTTTAGCCACGCCAGCAGTGGAGTCCGCGAAACTGCTTGGAGGATGCTGGCGGCGGAAACCGCCAGCCTATAGGGTCCCTGCCTAATCCTCTGCTTTCTCTCTCTTTACCTGGTCTGATTCCAGTTGTGCAGCGAGGACAACTTCTTGTGCGGCTTTTGTGCCGCCTTCACTACAGCATCCTGCAGTTCCTGTCCAGTCAGGGGTTTCTTTTCTCCTGCCCTGATTAGGATTACTGGATGCTTCCCTATCAGCCATTATGTTTTGGGGAGGGAAAAAAATAATAAAAAAATAAAAAATTCTGATTAGGATTCACACAGCGAAAACAGACCAATCAGAAAAGAGAACTGTGATGTTTATTTCAATTATTTGTTAATATAAAAGGAGTTAGGAAATTAACTTCAGTTTACTGAGTTTAGTACTTAGTGTCTGTTAGGCAGACCGGGAGGTTACAGGCTGAGATGAAACGGTTTTCACCTCTTTGCAGTAGCAGACGCAGATCCCAGGGTTCGATCCCTAGACCTTGCCCTACCTGTGTACAGTACCTGTGTAGACCCCGAGAGTTGAACCTGTGACCTGTGTATTCGTAAACAGTTGATAGGCTGTCATAGGTCCGTAGGTAGCAGGGTTTCGATCTGTAGACCTGTAGGATAGAAGTCTTAGCGAAGTCTAGAAGTCCTAGCTGTAGCCTTCTAGAAGGTCAGCAAGTGGGCAAGTGGTGAGTCAAGTGGTGGACTAAACTGCAGTGCAATTGCAGTACGACGGTGGTAGGTTAGCAGTGAGTCCCCACTCAGTCAGCGGTAAGGTCCAGTCAGTCCCAGTCTGGTCCAGCAAGTACCACAAGGGACTGTGAACATCATGGGCCGATGGAAGAGGGCAGACCAACAAGTTTCTCAGAAGTAGAAATCAAGAGGCAGCGCCCAGCCTTTCATTGATTCCTGCGTGAGCCATGCGGAAGCGCTGCCACAGCGACTTGTGCAAGGAGGTCTGCAGTGAGCCCGGAGCTGTAGTGGACGAGAGAGAAGGAGCGTAGCATAGTGATAGGGTAGCGGCAGCCATAGCTGTAGTTTAGTGTTCAGTGTGTGTGTGCGTGAGTTCAGAGAGTCGCGTGTGGGATATCCAGGGTGATCCAGTGTATGTGAACAGTGAGTTGTTTGGGCGTTGAGTCGCCATAGCCAATTGAAAGTGAACTCGTATCTGATGCCATATCTCTGAGTTTTGAGTGGGCGCATGTCGCCAGTTTGCTGCGCTGCTGTGTACATGCATGAAAAGTGTGAATGAAAGCGAGTCTGATTGCATTGGTATCAGAGCTGGTACCTGCTATTCCATGCGCGCCGTCGTGTGCAGGGCCTGATGCGCCATAGCAGAGGTGGCCGCCGAGAGTAGTATTCCGCCATAGCGGACCGGAAGGTTGGAGAAGCCGCCGCGCACCTGCAGAGAAGACCACGACGAAGAAGAAGACCGAGAGAGAGAGAGAGAGAGAGAGAGAGAGAGAGAGAGA